AAATGTTAGGATGAATGTGGTATAAAAAAAAGACAGTTGAAAGGTTACATAATAAACAAACACGAATAAAGTAATAATAAATGATACAGATTAAATATTCATTATCTAAACATCAAAATATTCGTACAAAGTAGCACCTAAATATTTGTACGCCACACACAAACAATTGAATTTGTGAGTGCACTGGAATACTGCCCAGGTGTTCAGACCGATGCAGATGGTTTTCTCAATGGGGGCAACACCATGAGACTTAGACCTACAGGTCTAATCTACAAGAAAGTAGAGTCCCCTTACTGAACCAACCTAGGTACCAATCAACCTGGGTGAAGCTGAGGACATTCACTTTCTGTCCCCTTAATTTCGTAAACATCCTTATCATGATAATGCAGTGAGCAGGACTTTTCTTGCAGTAAGTATACACTCATGGTCATATAAAAGCATTTCGAAAGGGGAAGAAGACTCTTCCCAACCTCGGTCGTACCGCGAGATGATAATAATCGATGGTTAGAGACCTTGAATAATGACATGGCTCAAAATCGTTCGCAATGGCGCCGGTGCATTTATGCTTTGTGTTCTCTCAAATCCTAATCTTCTGGATTCTTCAACACCTCTAGCTTTTACTTTCTAAACTTTTCTCATTAAATCATACTTCTTGAATAGTATCTTCTAATCCTAACCTCTATCTATTCTTCTATTGGATTTGAATTGACAATTACATCTCTGTGCTGATGTGGTATGGCGGCGACATGAACTGATGTACTTACGTACGAAGTTCTACGTTGCATCTGACTGACTGACTGACGGTCGTACCAGGGCATTAAAGAACTACTTAGACAAATTTTATTCACATCAAAAGTAAATCGTAATGTCTCTAAAGAAAACAAGCTTCTATATTGAATAATATATAGATCAAATCTCATACAACAAAGCTACAGGATCCATAGAATCTAATCTAGCTAGTAGAAATACTTATATCTTTTATTTAGAAGCATTGCATCATGATAGGATGACCACTTTATCCGCTTCCCTACTGTGTTTGGTATGAAAGATTCATCCCATCTTATGCAATTAACTAAGTCTGCGTTCGAAAACGGGATCAAATAATCAATAACTTCAACTGTGCTTGAAGACATGTTGGATCGCAAAGCCAATTATCCGGTTACCCCTCAAATCCAAACAATCCTTTGAGATGAAAATAATCGAATATAGGGATGCGCCGAATATTTCCTTAATGCGGGTAGGTTAGGTTTTAAAAACACAAAGAAAAACTACTTTCACCAGCAACCAAACTTTTGCAATTGGACTGTCGTCATGATCGCATGTAGGATGACCCGAATCGGCATGATTCACTATGCTTCTGTCAGTATCCTCATCTTCATCAATTCTTCTACCAATTAACAAAATTTAGTGAAACCTTGGAAGTTAATACTGGGAATAGATTTGTTATTAATGGAAGAAGTTAGTTTTTTTTATTGTTGCTTAGGTGAACAAATCAATGATTGAAGTTACTGACGAAGCGAAAGCAAAAATCCTTTAAAATAATCAATAAGCAAATAAATAACTTCGAGGCGCTTAACTGACGAAATCAATATTATTACAAAAGGCTACACAAATGAATTTATCCTATTCAAAAGAATGTTAATCTCAATCATAGATTACCCTATTTTGATCTCAGTTTATACAACACATAATTGCATGACATCTTATTTGATGCCTTCAATTAATGAATCCTTTTTATCATTACTGAATCTCCTAATCAACTCAACTTTCTCAGTCATCATCAATAAATTGCCATTCCTAGAACTTTAAGTGTTTTTTTTTAAACTTTCTTTTAGAATACTTACATGCATTGACATATAAATAATCAACTGCAAAAATAGCTCTCAAAAATTTCAAAAAAAAAATTTGTCAGCTGACGAATCTTTTGTTGATGTGACATAAAATACGTATATACGTGTTTTTTTTTGCATTTAGGTCGTTCTTGACTATCGTAGAAATTAAATATTCATAAAAGTATAACATAAGAATTAAGCCAGTAATTTGAAATTACCATGTAATATATAGTATATATAGTATATATATATATATATATATATATATATATATATATATATATATATATAGCAAAACGTATACATTATTTTAAAAGAAACGTACCAAAGATGGATTAGTCCGATCTACATGACGTGATTTAACAAGAGCAGAATGTAAGTAAAAATTGTGCGGCATTACAACAGCACCGACTACACCAACAGCTTGTTCTAATTCAGGCCAACCACAACCAGGGCAAGAAGGCACAAATAATCCACGCAAAAGGGATACTTGATCAGGTTTTACAACAACATACTGAATAAAAAATATATATATATAATTAATTCTGGCATATTATTTTCACTAATTTTACTGACATTATAATGAGTGAGAAACGATCAGTTAATTTGAAAAAGAAAAACAAAAACATTTCAAGTTTTAAACTAGAACACAGATTATAGAGATTTTTGGATTTGGATTCAGTCAGTTTTTTTTTTAGCTAAGAATGACAATCAACATAAAAAATGTTTAGAAGTCATGCAGCACTTATCAATGGTTTCGTCTGAATATTTAAGACCCACCAAGAAAAACATAACCAAGATGCTACATGAGATAGGACATAAACTTACAGATCTCGTGGATAGCACAACTGTTTCGAATTACAAAGTCACAACTCTATGGTTAAGTATTTTTGAAGTTGTTGTGAAAAAAAAACCAGATGAATTAACTAGATGAATATCCTGTTAATTCTATGGAGAAAAACAAGAACAGTATATATCGGCCGAAAATACCGCGAAACATGATTAGCACTATGAGATAAAAATTATCAGAAGTTCAGAGACAATAAAAAAAATATTTAACACAGTATATAAATAAATTGAATAAATATACTAAGGAGATAATGTTTTCTTTTGTTGATCTAATAATAAAATAACCATCAATGATTTCCACTGCAATGAATTGAATTTCATCATCTCAAATCAGATTGTTCAGATTTAGTACTTGTTCAAATTAAATTTTGCTTGTTACATTTAATTATCTTTGATCAGTTATATTCTGAACTGATTTACTTTAAAAAGTAGTTACAATTTTATTTTTTTGCATTACAGGGGTTGTAAAGATTGTTAAGTTACACATTTTTGAAAGCATGAATCGATCAATGTGTTAGACTACCACCATTAGAAGAAACCTGCAAGAAGCACTGAAAGACGGCCGTCTCGTCTTGGTATGGGACTACTCATCAGTGGCAGTGCGCATCCACGACACCTGCACCCCGCAGGACTCGAACCCAGGACCTTCGGTATTGTGCACGAACGCCCTAACCGTTAGACTTGTATGCAGAGAATATTGCATAAATTCCAATTTGAAAACATGAATTATAATACATAATAAATTAGACTAAAACACACATGAAGTGAACAAGTAAAAGTTTTGATGATGATGATGTTTGTATTATATTTAGCTAGCACAAAGTAGAACTTATATTTATGGTAATCAATATTAGTCAGTGATTTTTTTTCAAAAACTAGTTTATAAATTTCTCAAAGTTTATAATGTATTTTCTTTTCTAGCAAACTCTATTAATATTATTAGGAATTAGGAAATTTCGTCAAAAAAGTTTCATTTTGTTAAAACACGGGGGGATAAATGACCGTCAATCACAGTTTTACAATTATTTAAGAATTTTCGCAAAATGAACAATACTTAAAAATCATAAAAATCAATATTAAAATAAATGATAAAAATGAAAAATATTTATACATAGTATTAACTAACCTCATAACCAAATGTCACAGCCATAGTAGTTATTAAAAGTCCAAAAAAGAATTCTAATTTACGTAAACCATATTTATCAAGAAATAGAAAAGTGAAAGTATCCAAAATAGTGATTAGTACACCAGCCCATAAAGGTATATAACCAATACTTAATAAATTTATAGCTATAGCAGTACCAATCACTTCCTACAATGAAAATAAAAATAATCATAAACAATGAATGTATATTATAACAATAAAAAATTTATTTCTTATATCACAACTACATGTTGAGTATTCAAAAAAAAAACAAAAAAAACATAACTATGCCGTTAATTTATACAGCTTAATATAAACATATTAAATAAGATAGATCTATTGTATATATTGACTGTTGTTATAAATAATACCAGGAAATAATTGGATAGTCAGTCAGTCAGTTGCAACGTAGAACTTTTTACTTATGTACAAAAGTTCATGTTGCCATACCACATTATTAGCACAGAAACGCAAATGTCAAATCAAATCCTATAGTGATAAAGATAGTAGAGGTATTAATGGTAATGAAGAAGACTAGGGTTTGAAGATATTATTCAAGAAGTATAATTAAGTGAAATAAGGTTAGAAAGACAAAGGTAGAAGGCGCTGACGATTCCAGAGGATTAGGATTTGATAGAGCACAACGAATGGATGCACTTGCGCCATTGCAAACGATTTTGAGCCATGTCGTTCAAGGTCTCTAACCATTGGTGACTTTCATCTCGCGGACCCCAACCAGGTAGTCTACATTTACCAACATGACTCAGTCCACTTGTTAGTGACTTCATGGATTTCTGCCATGTTTTGGTCTGGCCGCACCTAACTTTCTTCCAACCTACTCCTACACCACAAAACAAAGCTCGTCGAGGCAGTCGGTGTTTAGGCATACGTAACACATGTCCCAACCACCTCAACTGATGAAGTTTCAATACTTCATCTATTGATCTGCCATCCTTACCTAGTACCCATTTCCTAACGACAGCATTGCTTACTCGGCTGTACCACGATATACGAGCAATGCTTCTTAAACATCTGGTAGAAATTGACTATCTAATTTTTTAGATAGTCAATTTCTATCAGAAGTCTTTTTTGAATTAAATTCAAGGGGAAAAAAGTAGCTGGGATAATCAAGAGTAGAAAGAATAAAAATTGACTTTTATCATTAATTTTTGAATTATGTTATTCAGAATATCAAGAAAGAATCTAACCATTTTATGAATGTATCTAATGATACTATTGTAGTGAAGAAGAAGAAGAAGAACACAGGTGAGGACAACCAAATTGTATTTAGCGTAAAAATTACAGAGTAACTCTGTAAAATCGTAAAAACCATATCGTAAATTGTTCATTTGCAAAATATCAGTTCATCATTATATCGAACTGGACTGTTCCTGTTGCAAAACATCAATCCATTGTCACTACTATTCATGCGTTTCATACACAAATTCCATTGTTTTCCCACTCTTCTTCCTTTCTTGATCTTCCCCCCATAACTTCTGCTACCAGACATTACGTTTGACACTCACGTCATATACTACTACTTATAAGTAGCTCACACCACACTACATCCGAACATCGGAAAGCTCATGTGAATAATCAAGTTTGGAGGATAGCTTCCAAATCAACTAAGCTGAATCCTACCTCATTATCAGAAGTATTTTAGCGTTTTAATCAAATGTGCTCTATACCAACAAGCCAAGGAAACCAATCTTTATAACAGAGCTCAAATATTTGAAGATAGTTGAGATTTAAGTATCTACACCAGTGAATAATCACTTTGATCTTATTGACAAGTGTGAAAACCAGAACTTGGGAATTTTGGATAGGATTTTTTTATTAACCTAGCCATTTATAGAACTTTTCCAGAAAGTATCATATGTATTCCTAGGTGTAGACACATTATATAGTGCGTGTCCCAGTAACCGCAATCGACTGACTAACATACCTTGTTTTGAACTGTAGAATGGTTGATCAAGTACCTACTGTTTCAACGAAAAATGTTCTAAGGATGCCTACAATCAACCATGTTTGAATTTAGGTTGTTATTCACACAGCTAACACAGCCGTTAGCTAGTGTTCGGAGCAGAGTGTCACAATAAGATTGAAAAGATGATAATAACGTCTCATATTACAACGGATTATAACGAAATTTATGGCAAAGTAGGCACAACTTACTTGCATATCTGACCCAATAATTGCAATTTCAACCATAAGCCAAAGCATAATACGTGCCGGTCTAGGATATTCATCGTAGCACACTTCCGCTAAATGTTTACCTGATACTACACCCAAACGAGCAGCCAGACGCTGTAAAAACAATCCCATCAATGTAGCTAGGAGTAAAAGCCATAGAAGCTGAATGTCAGTTAGAAAAAAAAACAAAATATAATTTGCATTGATAAATCTGTCAAATTTATCACAATAAATATTGTTAACTAAAAAAACCTACGTCACAGTAAATTTGGAATTAACAAATTTTTAGACATTCAGATTGGGTAAAGTCAAAACGACCGGTCCCAATTCTGTTACTATTTAGATTTTTAACCAGAAATATCATCTTTAAAATAAGGAATAAAATTCACTAATTATCTACCATAAATATTAATAAGTCAGAAACTGTACAAAACTAAAGAGTTACCTGCAACATCGATGATGTATTAGGAAATGAAGTAAAACACAACAAGAAAGTCAGTCAGTCAGTCAGTCAGCTAAACGTAGGAATTCGGTTGTACGTACATCAGTTCAAGTTGCCATGCCTCATTAGAATATGAAGATCGAATTGTCACTTTAAATCCTATGGTGATAGATTAGAACGGAGCAAACTACTGTAGAGTACAGTCCTACGTTGGTTAGAAAACGGATATCTCGTCCGCGCCATAAGTGATGCAAGTCGGCGAAAGCCAATCGAGCTTTCTGTATCCGTGCTGAGGGTTCCCCAGACACCAGGCCATCAGCATTGATGACACTCCCAAGATAAGGGAAGCAGTCAACACGTTCAACTACTTCACTACCTACCAAGAGTTCAGGTGCCGATACAACAAGAAAGTATCAAAGAAAGATCCTATTATAACACAACACAATTTTACATGACAGTAAGTGAAACACAAAGTTTTCTTCAAAATAATGAATAAACAGTAAATAAACAACTATGACAGCACTGAGACAAACACTGACTAGTATTAATAAAAAGTTTGGTTGCTGATAACAGTGACAGGAATAAAAGTGTGTTGCATAGACTACGGCCAAACGTCAGCAATCAAATCAAAAGCAGCACTAAACCTCTTATCAATCATCAACTGAATGAACCAAAGTAAACAAAGAAAAAAAAATGACCCTATGATCTAAGAACAAGTGATAGATAATCACATATTTAATAATAGTTGATGAGTCATAAGTTTTAATAAGAACAACTTAAACTGACGATGACTTATTGGTTTTCCAATATGAACGTAATTCATTTGACAAAATAATGTGGTTTAGACACTTCAGCTCCAAAGAATGGCGGCGCCACAGTTTACACAATAAAAATTTAAACACAAGATAGTACTACAATTCCTTAAAAAACATATGAGCTATAGATTTCGCATACATTTGCTTAGTTGCATAATAATTACACTACCCATCGAATCCAGAAAGTATAAGTACCTCGAGAGTGTGTTCATACCTTCAATCTTACTCAGACAGACAACAGAAAAACAAATATCTACAATTTCTAAAGATTTACAAAATGATGGCGATTTCATCATGAAAAAAATAATATATAATTCTTTTTTAAATAACCTACTTTAATGATAAAATTAATTAGAACTGATTTTTATTTATATATATATATATGATAAGCACTTACCCTATAATTAGCGATTGCACCACTTTGTAAATCGGATTCTATATTTCCAGGATCTAAATAAGCTATACTCATCAAGAATCCAGGACCAGTGAATGCCCATAATCGTTTAAAACTGAACACATTTCTTTCCTTCAATAGAAAACAGAGGAATGAATACAATAAAATAAAAAATCGAGACATAAATGTTAAAATACTAAAGTAGGAGAAAAAAAATTAATGATAATGATGACATACAACCCTAACACAATAACAGAAAATATAATATTCATAAACTTTTTACAATGTGAATTGATTTTAATTGAAGAAGTAAAGTTTTAAACACTTATTTTTATTATAATAATAATAATGTTAATATTAATAATAGTAATCATGCAGCTCGTCTACTGAGTTCGGGTTCATGTGTTCAGATATGTAATACATTATGCCAGGGGGTTAGTATTAAATGGATACTTTGATCTCTAAAACATCCTGAATTTAGGGGCTATTGATCAACTGAACAGGGGTGATTTAATTCGATCATTAGTGAACAAGTTTGAGTAGGAATTAATGATTACTTCTGACTGAGCTAAACCATACAGAACACTGTTTTGTCACAACATACTTGATAACTACTTAATATTCAACGGCTGATATTTCATCATAGCGGAAGATAAATTTACTAACAATAATCCTATAAAATGTCGAAATGAAATATCTATTTAGAGAATATGCGTAAACTAATTTGGCTTAAAACGTACATGATAAAAAGCAAAAAAACCCAAAACCTCAATATATACTACGAATCAACTACAATCTACCCAAGTGCAAACATTTGATAAAACACACTTAAAGATATAACACTGTACATTAAACAATCATGTATGATTTGTTTACCATCATATAATTTGGACTACTCTATATACCACGTCCTGAATGAAAATCAAAGTAACTCGACTAGCACAAAATTTAATTTAAAGATTAATGTAATCTCTTTTTTTCGAATCTACATTTATGGATTATATTTTACAAAATACACACACCAAAATTATTCGGATTGGCCACCTACCACGTGAACAGTGTACAAAAACATGTCAAACCATTTAAAGCTAAAAATATGAACAAATTGTGTCGACAGCTTTTTTTTGATCTCAACTTAATCAAGCAGTAAAATAAAAAAAACATACAAACAACAAAGGTGTAACAACGTGCAAAGTAAATAATTACAAAAAGAATGTATGACAAATGAATTTCAATTGTATAAAGATTTTGGAAGGTTTATTGTTTGAGTGTACATCCGATTTCATGACATTAAGTTACTGTTAAACGTTGTAAGCATCTCACACTCAAAAACCGCAAACTTTAGACTGCGAAATAAGATCCCAACAGAAACTCTTAGATAAGTCAGTAAGTCATTTATCACATAGAACTCCTTACGTACGTATATGATGAGTTCAGGCTGCCCAAACCACGGTAGCAGAGAGATACAATTTTTGATTCAAAACGCATAGTGGTAGAGTTAGTAAAAGTTTAGGCAGTAATCGGAACGAATGGGGTTGGAAGATAATATTCAACAAGTATTCTCGAGTGAAAAGGATATCAAACAAGAAAGCTGAAGGTCATGAGTCAGTCAGTTACAACCCAAAAATTTGCACGAACGTAAATCAGGTCAGCTTAGCATACCGGATCAGCACAGATACTACAGCGTCAGTAAAAATCCCATTGTGCTAGAGATAGAAGGATTAGCAGTAAAGAAGGAGATTAGGGTTCGAAGATATGATTCGAGAAGTATAATTTGGTGAGATAAACTTAGAAAACGAAAGATGAAGATGATGACGAATTCACAAAGTTAGAATTTGAGAGAACACAATGAATGAATGCACCTGCGCCATTGCAAACGGTTTGGGCCATGTCTTTTAAGGTCTCCAACCATCGGTGACACACCTCTCGCGAACCCCAACCAGGTAGCCTACATCTATCAACATGACTCAGTCCACTTGTCATTCATTTCATGGATTACTGCCATGTTTTGCTTCGGTCACCCCAGGCGTTCTCCCGACCTACTCCTACACAACAAAGCATAGATCGTCGAGGCAGCCGGTGGTCAGGCATACATGGAACGGGTCCCAACCACCTCAAATGAACTTTCAATACTTCATTTATTCATTTACCATGCCAATTCAGTACGCGTTTCCTTACGACAGTATTGATCACTCGGTTGTCCCAGGATATACGAGCAATGCTTTGGAGCCACGTGAAGAGCAGACTCGAGAAAACCAGGCTGGTTTCAGACCTGGACGTCGATGCTATAGACCAGATATTCACACTACGTCAGGTCATAGAACATAGACACGTGTTTAGGCGTCCGACAATAGTTGACTTCCTGGACCTTAAGGTGGCATTTGACTCTGTGGGTCGTGAGGTTCTGTGGCAGTGTCTGTCATTGAAAGGTGTACCAAAGAAGTACATTAACCTTATACAAGCTCTTTACTCGAATACTACAGGTAGAGTGAGAGCTTATGGAGAACTATCACCGGAATTGATTACTTCAAGTGGTGTCCCTCAGGGATGTCCGCCTTCTCCAATCTTGTTTAATTTTGTCATAGACCTGCTTCTAAGTATTACATTATTCTCGTCTGAATTTTCAGGAGCGGACCTTCTACCAGGAAAATCACTTACTGACTTAGAATATGCCGATGACATAGTTCTGTTTGGTGAGGACACTGACAATACAGTCTTCTGACTATATTACCCTAAACAACAATGCAAGCATGTTCGGGATGCGTTTCTCACACTCGAAATGCAGAATGTTGCTTCAAGACTGGGTTGCATCGGCACCTGAACTAGTGATAGGGAATGAAGTAGTCGGAGGTGTTGATCGCTTCACTTATCTTGGGAGTGTCATCAGTGCTGATAGCCTGGTGACTGACGAAATCTCAGCACGGATGCAGAAAGCTCGATTGGCTTTTGCCAACCTGCGTCACTGATGGCGTCTGCGAGATATCTGTTTATTAACCAAAGGACGTGTGTATTGCGCAGCAGTTTGCTCCGTCCTAGTTTGTGGCTGCGAAACATGGCCAATGAGAGTAGATGTTCGTAGGTTACTAGGTGGTTTGGACATGTATTACGTATGCTTAACCACCGATTGCCTCGACGGGCTATGTTTTGTGGTGTGGGAGTAGGTTGGAAGAAGGCTAGGGACGGCCAAACTAAAACGTGCAACAAATCCATGAAATCAATGACAAGTGGACTGAGTTATGTTGGTAGATGAAGACTACGTGGCTAGAGCCCGCGAGATGATAGTAAACGATAATTAACCCCGAAATACAGGGCTCATAATTGTTTGTAATGTTACAGGTGAATCCACTCTTTTTTCATTGAAATTGTAATTTGAACTCCTCTTGACCTTCATCTTTCTCTTTTTTGAATTCATTTCATGAATAATTTCTTTGAACCCTAATCTTCTCCATGCTGCTAATACCTTACTATCTCTACCTCTACATGATTTGAACTGACAATTGCGTCTCTGTGCTAATGTGTTATGGTAACCTGAACTTCTGTACGTACGTACGAAGTTCTACGTTGTAAGTGACTGACTGACTGACTATAAATTTTGAGCTTCAAAATTTTCCCATATTTCTCATCTCTACTACTTTTGATATTATGACTGTGATTATACTGATTCTCTTTTAATATGGTGATATGGAGCAGGGCAACAGGCATAAATACACCTCTGTACTGAGCCCTACGTTCTTTACGAATGACTTAACTTACCCCAGAGTCCATATCTACACTGATTTTTTCAATGCCATCCGAATGTGGTGAATCTCGTGGCCTGAGATCATGATGCGCTGAAATGAGTTGTACTGTCCCTGATTCACTGAAGAGTAATGGAACTCTATCTTCGTTTTCTTCTTCATCTGCTGGACGAATAACAGTCAACTGAATGAAAGTACTTACCTAAGTAGGAATCCATAATCAACAAAGACACACACAAATTAACACGACAATGAATGTGCGAACAGGTACACTAAAACCAAAATATTTATATGTTCCCAAAACCGGAACAAGGCAACATACAAATTAGAATTTTAAAGATTTCCATTGTGAAAATTAGAACAACACATATAAGCGAACAATATTGTTTTCGATTAGATCGTCATCAGGCTTTACTCTAATATACATGAATATTTATATGAAAATGTTAAACCAATCAAGGCAATTTGAGTGATTATCACAATGAAATGAAAAAGATTACGTAACTACATCTAATAGGCAAAAGTTCAAGTGGATAATAGGAAAACAGGTGTACTGATAGTAGTAAGAAAATCTGTAAAATATGATAACTAAAGTAGGTCAAGGGTGGATGAATAGAATTCAAATAATCATCAAAAACGTCAAAAACATTACGTAATAAGCAAATGTGTAAAAATAAAATGAAATTAAAAAAAAATCAAAAAATAATAAAAATATGTCAATCATTAGTTACGTCATATCCGGCCACGGAAGAGATAGGGGTGTCACGAATTTCTTCTGAACACATAAATTAGGGCTGAATGTACGTATTCCTATGGCTTCTGCAATGTGTAGGAGACGGGATCGAACTCCGTTGGGAAATGATGGAGGTATACGATAGATCACCCGAAAAGATCTAGATTTATCTACAATGTGACCACTATCTACCAGGTGTGCTAAGATAGAACTGCGTATTGTTTTTGACTGACCCATCGTAAACCATGCTGGGAGATGTTCACTCATTCGTTGGTTAAGTTGCCTGGAAGTACGCCCGATATAGCTATCTCCACAGGAGCAGCTGAATTTGTAAATGCACATAGAGGAGGCCAGCTCAGGTAACTTATCTTTCGTTTGAGTAGACATCGCAGGTCGACTGGAGAAAGTCAATGCAAGTTTTGCAGCGTTGAATGTTCTGTTAATTACTCTTCTTAATCTGTCCTGCAGAGTATCGCAGGCCACATCTCCGTTGAATTGTAGCTTCATAAACAAAGGGTTCTTTCGGGCAGTCGAAACCACCGACTTCTTTTTTACGGCAGACATATACTTCTTTAAGAATGCGCTTGGATAACCAATCTCGGTTAGTGAGCCGTTGATGAATTCCAGCTCCTGACTTACAGTATTCATTGAACATATCATATTTGCTCTGTAAGTGAGACATCTAACCAAATTTCTTTTGTAGCGGATAGGTGTAAAACTACAAAAGTGAGTGTATTGGCAAGCACTGGGATTTTTTCGATACACGCTTCTACTTAGTGAACCATCCTTTCACCTACTTAGTGTGATGTCAAGGAAAGACAGTTTTTCATCATATTCTTCTTCACCAGTGAACGTGATTGCCGGGTGTACATTGTTGAATTGTTCTAAAAGTTTTTCTTTCCTGGTGTCCTGATCTACAATGATGAATGTGTCATCGACATAACGGCAATATAGATCAAGTTTTTGAATAACTTCGTTGAGTGGTCCATTTTCTAGCTTTGCTAGAAAGAGATCAGCTAGAATCGGGCCTAGAGGTGAGCCCATGGCTAAACCGTCTATCTGCCTATAATAATTGTTGTTGAATACGAAATGGACATTCATCGTGCGTCTTAGGAATAATTCCTTAAGGCAATCTTTGGGCAAGCCAATGTTGATTTGTTTTTCTTTAATTTGCTCGCATATGAAATCAATAGTCTCGAGGAGTGGTACGTTAGTGAACAACGAAACCACATCCAGTGAGATCATAATTTTCTTGCTAACATTCATACTTTCCACTTTGGAAGTGAACTCAAAAACATCTTTTACACTTCTTTGCACAACTGATTTATGTAAAGGCTCTAAAATTCGTACTAACCACTTCGCAATTTTGTGGTAAGGAGAATTGTACATATCAAGGACCGGGCGCAGAGGAAGACCCGATTTGTGGATTTTAGGCAAACCATATAGTCGTGGTGTATATGATCCAGTCGGTTTAATCGAGTCGTGAATTTCAGACGCAATTACTCCCTTTTTCTTTAGTTCTTTAAGCGAATTCGTCAGTTGTTTTTCCACTTTTTTATTGATGTCGTTATTACTGGTGACTTTCTGAAATTTGCTAGGATCATCTAGCATTCCTTCCATTTTAGCAATATAATCAGATTTATTCATCAGAACTATACCTCCCCCCTTGTCTGGTTTGCTCATGACCAAAGTATCATCTTTTTTGAGTTTAGTTAGAGCCTCACGGTGCAGTTTAGTAAAAAGGCTATTAGTAGAACGCTTACTGTTTTTATATTGTTGGCAGCTATCGACTAAAGTTGTCTTAAATCTAGCGACATCCTCCACTGAGGTGGGGAACAGGTCGGTTGTTTGTGAAAACAAATTTTCAAACTGCACATCGGTGTCTAGGTGATTGATTTTCTGACCATTATCACAAAATTTTGGCCCCAGGGACAAAGCCTCTAACTGTATTACATCAAGTTCAATGTCTGAAAAATTGTGTACGTACCGAGTCGGATCCAGTGGAAATTCCTTTTCCGGTTTTTTTTTTCCAGAGTTTTCACTAACTTATTCATTGTCTTCTCATATCTGTTTTTTGAAACTTTTCCGACATAATCCATAAATAGTGAATGAATTTCCGATGGCAGGTTATCAACGAAATGTCTGAGAATAAGATTCCTATCCAAGTCGCGGATATTCATTTTTAAAGTATCTATTTCATTGGACGCATGTCTTTCAAGTGTTTTAGCATTCGGATAGACTCTGTTTCGACGTAATGACTTCCAATATACTTTAGGATATCTGTTTGACTGAATACAATTGATAGTAAATCCTAAGCTCGTCTTCGCTTCTGTGAGACGTGCATTAAACTTCAGGAACTCATTGAGTGCCTTAAATGCAGCAGGATCCCCACATGATTTAAGAATTTTAAAGATTCCCATTGTGAAAATTAGAACAACACATATAAGCGAACAATATTGTTTTCGATTAGATCGTCATCAGGCTTTACTCTAATATACATGAATATTTATATGAAAATGTTAAACCAATCAAGGCAATTTGAGTGATAATCACAATGAAATGAAAAAGATTACGTAACTACATCTAATAGGCAAAAGTTCAAGTGGATAATAGGAAAACAGGTGTACTGATAGTAGTAAGAAAATCTGTAAAATATGATAACTAAAGTAGGTCAAGGGTGGATGAATAGAATTCAAATAATCATCAAAAACGTCAAAAACATTACGTAATAAGCAAATGTGTAAAAATAAAATGAAATAAAAAAAAATCACTCAAATTGCCTTGATTGGTTTAACATTTTCATATAAATATTCATGTATATTAGAGTAAAGCCTGATGACGATCTAATCGAAAACAATATTGTTCGCTTATATGTGTTGTTCTAATACGAATTAGAGAAAATTATCGGATACAAGGCCTATGCAATCTGGAAATACAAGCATCCTACAATAACAATAGCTACACACGCCAAAACAGTAAATAGAAACAACATAAAGCAGCACGAATATGTATCGCTTGTAATTGTAATATTTGAGGGATGAATTACAATTAAGATACAACCTATTGAAACACTAAAGTAAACAGTAGCACGATGACTACAAATAATGAAGTTTATATAGTTCATCAACTGTTCTGCCATCCTTAACTAATACCCGCTTCCTAACAACAGCATTGCTCGCTCGGTTGTCTCAGGATATACGACCAGTGCGGCCGATGTAGGTTGATTCTTCTAAACGCGCATATAAGATCCGAGTAAAATCATCAATTAAATTTCAACAAATGCAGATAAGAAAATAAGGTTTACGCATCGTGTTTCAGGTAGCCCAGATGCTGCTTCCCGTGGACTCGCTGGCGTAGGTATAGTATCAAGTCCTGGGGCTGAACTAGGGGTTGAATAAAGTACAAAACCAGAACTAGCTCTCTTAGACTGGATCCCAGTAGACAGTCGCTTAGTCAGTTGCAACGTAGAACTTCGTACGTATGTACATAAGTTCATGTTGCCATACCACATTAATACAGAGACGCTAATGTCAAATCAAATCCGATAGTGATAAAGATGGTAGAGGTTTTAACAGTAGTGAACAAGACTAGAGTTTGAAGATATTATTCAAGAAGTATAATTCAGTGAGATAAGGTTAGAAAGACAAAGGTAGAGGTGCTGACGATTACAGAAGATTAGGATTTGAGAGAGCAGAAAGAATGGATGCACTTGCGCCATTGCAAACGGTTTCGAGCCATGTCGTTCAAGGTCTCAGTACACTTGTCAGTGATTCCATGGATTGCTGCCATGTTTTCGTCTGTGACTACGCTTTCACTGAATGCGGTTCATACGACATAAAAAATGGGTTTTACAGAAACCTCTCAAACCGTCTATAACAAGTTAAGCGATCTGATATAGGAATAATGGCTGATGACTTTAATGCTCAAGTAGGTAGACTGAGTGAAAAGGAAAGACACCTGGATGGATCCTATTATGTCATGGCTCAAAGATCAGATAATGGCCACCGCCTACTGCAGCTGTGCTCAGATAATCATCCATTTGTAGCAAACATACTTTAGGCATTAGGAAAAACATCTCTTGACTTGGCGACCTCCAAAGCCGACCCAACGATCAATCAATCAACCAACAGCAACGTAGAACTTCGTACGTACGTACACCAGTTCATGTTGCCTTACCACATTAGCGCGGAGATGTAATTGGGTTCATCGTTGGTTCGATGGACACAATTAGATGACATTACTATCACCCATCGGTAAACAGGCTGCATTGAAAACTGCTGCTCATTCTCGAGCACTTGTTTAGAATCAGACCACGCTCTAGTGTGAGCGCGTATTTACTTGCGGCTTACTGGACGTTGGAAAAATACCGCAAGAAAGCCTCTTAGGATTCTACTTAATGATAGCGTAGCTAAGAATATATCTCAGGAACAACTAGAGAAACAGTTAGATAGCCATGTAGTAAGTGATGCTCACCCTGAGGCAGCTTGGAACGGTATCCAAAAAGCTATGGAAACAGCGGTGATATCTGCTAGTAAGGTAAACCATGAGGTTAGGGAGAAGCCGTGGATCTCAGTAGCATCTACCAAACCAATGGATGCTCGTAAACTCAGCCCGTCTGGCTCTGAGTAAGATGAGGAGCGGAGTCAGCTTAGGCACACTCTGATAAAAAGCCTACACAAAGATCGCAAACAGTGGTGGGTAGCGAAAACGAGACGGATGGAAAAGGCAACGGCGATACGCAACAGTAGACAACTATTCAGACTCATCAAGGAAACCGGTATTAGGAATCCGACTCTAAGTGCGACTATCTCGGAAAAGGATGAACTATTATTCATTGCCAATCCAGGAGATTGGATCGATGGGCAGAACACTTTAGGGATCAGTTCAACTGGCCTTCAGCCACTCTTCGGTTGCCCACGATCTCCAGTCATCCTGAATGGCAAATCGATTTAAGTCCTCCCAGTTTAAATGAAGTTGAGAAAGCTATAGGAAATCTAAGGAGAGGTAGAGCGGCAGGTCCCGATAGGCTTACCCCTGAGATGTTTAAGAATGGTGGTCCAGTTTTAACGGTTAAACTGACCGATATCCTAGGTAGAATCTGGGAAATGGACGTAATCCCATCTGACTGGTCTCAGTCGCTAATTGTCCCAGTCAGTCAGTCAGTTGCAACGTAGAACTTCGTACGTATGTACATAAGTTCATGTTGCCATACCACATTATTAGCACAGAGACGCAAATGTCAAATCAAATCCCATAGTGATAAAGATGGTAGAGGTATTAATGTTATGATAAAGAAGACTAGGGTTTAAGATATTATTCAAAAAATATAATTCAGTGAGATAAGGTAAGAAAGACAAAGGTAGGGGTGCTGGCTAATCCAGAAGATTAGGATTTGAGAGAGCTCAAAGAGTGGATGCACCTGCGCCATTGCAAACGATTTTGAGCCATGTCGTTCAAGGTCTCTAACCATTGATGACTTTCGTCTCGCGGACCCCAACCAGGTAGTCTACATCTACCAACATGACTCAGTCCACTTGTCAGTGACTTCATGGATTTGTGCCATGTTTTGGTCTGACCGCCCCTAGCTTTCTTCCAACCTACTCCTACACCACAAAACATAGCTCGTCGAGGCAGTCGGTGGTTAGGCATACGCAACACATGTCCCAACCACCTCAACTGATGAAGTTTCACCACTTCATCGATTGATCTGCCATCCTTACCTAGCATTGCTTACTCGGTTGTCCCACGGTATACGAGCAATCCTTCTTAAACATCTATGATCGAATACTAGTAACCTACGAACATCTTCTACTCTTAACGGCCATGTTTCACAGCCATATAAGAGAACGGAACGAACTGCTGCGCAGTACACCCGCCCTTTGGTTAGCGAACGGATATCACGCCTACGCCATAAGTGACGCAGGTTGGCAAAAGCCAATCGAGCTTTCTGAATCCGAGCTGAGATTTCGTCAGTCACCAGACTATCAGCACTGATGAGACTCCCCAGATAAGTGAAGTGATCTACACGCTCGACTACTTCACTCCCTATCACTAGTTCAGGTGCCGATGCAACCCAGTCTTGAAGTAACATTCTGCATTTCGAGGATAAGAAACGCATCCCGAACATGCTTGCATTGTTGTTTAGGGTAATATAGTCAGAAGACTGTATTGTCAGTGTCCTCACCAAACAGAACTATGTCATCGGCATATTCTAAGTCAGTAAGTGATTTTCCTGGTAGAAGGTCCGCCCCTGAAAATTCAGACGAGAATAATGTAATACTTAGAAGCAGGTCTATGACCTGACGTAGTGTGAATATCTGGTCTATAGCATCGACGTCCAGATCTGAAACCAGCCTGGTTTTCGAGTCTGCTCTTCACGTGGCTCCAAAGCATTGCTCGTATATCCTGGGACAACCGAGTGATCAATACTGTCGTAAGGAAACGCGTACTGAATTGGCATGGTAAATGAATAAATGAAGTATTGAAAGTTCATTTGAGGTGGTTGGGACCCGTTCCATGTATGCCTGACCACCGGCTGCCTCGACG